TACCGTAGTTGGATCCAGATCTTTTACAGTGCAGTTTAATTTCACATTTTATATTAAAAAACAAAACAATTAAGGGTTGAAATTCCTTTGCTTTTAATTTGATTATTTAACTAAAATATTTTACGAGGGAGTGTATTAATTGGTACTTTTGTTATTTTTTATACACTTATTCAAGACTTTCACAAACACAAATTACCTCTTAAATGCAACAGACATTTAAAAAACACTATTTTCAAGAAGCTTTTTTTTCAAAAAAACCCCGCATTTTTCCAAAAAGCAATTTATGATTTCTAAAGCTTATCAGAGAGAACGCTTATGAGAAAAATTCCCGGAACCCTTTTCCCGAAAACATTCGGTTGAGTGGTCAACGGAACGCGAAATATATGCAAATTTCTCCACTACATATACTACGCGGTGTAAGAACTCTATTCCCAACTCAATCTTTCCAGTTTTTGCTTTAATACTCAAAGTAAGAGGTTTGCTCGGTATGGCGCATTATAAAAGGAAACGGGGAAAAATATGAACGTTTAAAAAGCATGAGCTCTATTAACTTAAATAAACATTAAAGAATTTTTTTTGTTATTATTATCGTTCTATTTTGGATAATTAATTGTGAAGAATATAAATGAAACCTGCAAGTTAATAAACTTGGTTACATCATAGTTTATATCATCTGATCTTACAGAAAATTCTGAAACTAATAAAAATTTAAATTGTATTCAAATCTCTTTCGAATGGGCGATATTTAAGTCATTAATTTACTTTAAAAATAAGAACTCCAATACAGATATGCTAACAAAAAATCGAAACATAAAATTATTTGCAATGATATGAATCAGATTCAGCAATATTAGTAAACGTCAATATTTTACTCAGTAAAATGTTTTGATTATGTGCAGTTCGGTTACTATCTGATTAATAATAATTATTATTATTATTGCTATTAAAATGTTTATTGACAACAAAGTAAATTTCGGTACAAGCTTATGCTTTTTTATGATTCTTTACTGTTTTAATAAAATATAAGCTTCCATTTTTACAAAAATCTATGCCGTCTGTTCAAAAAATTCAATTATAAATTACAAATTTTTGAAGTTATAAGATTAAAAATTAAAAAAAAGGAAAGTTTCAGTAAGTAAACAAAAAGGGTATTTATTTATTGATTGATTGATTGAAGGACTCATATGTAAAGCAACCCTAAGAAACTATATGCTGGTTGCGAAATACAAAATAAAATTATTGTATTTTAATTGAAAAAATAGCAACTGTTTTATTAATTAAATGGAGAAAATTGCCTCATAACTTATAACTGCTGATTCGGAAAGATGGGGCAATGTTCTTTCTATAAGGAGTGTTCAAAGTAGAGAAAATAGGCTAACAAAAGCAGTGGAACTGTTTAAAAATAATAAAATAATCAATATATTTCAGCAAAAGTTACTTTTTCTCATTAAGTTTTTTCTATAATTATAATTCTTTAGTTTCTAGAACTCAAACATTTTCATGACTCTTCAATAATTTTAAGGCGTTCAAGGTTAATAATATTAATTTTCAAGAACTGTAAAATTTTTAAAAGCAATTATTATTGTTAAAGATTAAATTGTGGTTCTTATTAATTATAATATCTCGTACAAGAGCTGTAGAAGCTTAGAGGATGGAGCGTTCGCCTCCCAATGAGGTGAACTGGGTTCGAATCCCAGCGATGGCTGGTCGATACGAATTTTGCACCCGACTCGCATCGACCACAGTACTGATGTAATATATCCTCAGGCGTAGACAAATCATTGGTTAGAGTCTCCTTCCTTTCAGGCTAACCGTGGGAGGTTTTCTTTCTCCATGTAATGTAAATGCGGGTCAACTCCATCAAAAGTCCTTCATGAAAACAAATTTTCCCCATAAATTTGATCAAGAAGTTCCTTTGTCTTCTGGATTAAGTTCAGAATTACAAGGCTACGGAGTTGAATAAAGTAAGTCGTAAACCCAAAATTGAGTCTGCTGTTCAACGATGGTTATAAAATGAAATATTAAATATCTCCTACTGATGTGCATAATTTCATCAACCCTTAAAATTAGTATTTCTGAAGAAATAAGAATAGAGGTTTTATTACAATTTGTGTGACAAATTTAACAACAAAATAGTAATAAAATGCCTCTAAAACAAAAGTAGTTAAAATTGTTTATTGGAAGTTTAACAAAAATTAAATTAAGTATTTTTTTGCTGGTTTGTTGAATTGTGAGTGGTTTCTCTTAACTTTACCTAATAATTTTTTACATAATTCAACTAGATAATTATCCAAAAATTCTAAATATTTAATTAAAAATTATGTCTTGCAATATTAATTAAAAGAAAAAATCTATCTCAAGAAGATTTGTAGCGGTGATCGATGTATTCCTAAGGGAAATTCTCTACTCACAATAATTGAAAAAAGAATGAATTCAATCTTTACAACTTCAATGCTGTTGAAAACTTTGTGTTTCCAATTTCGCGGAATCATCTTTCAATGTGCAAGAAAGAAATGAGTATTGATTTTACAACGCAAGTTCACAGTTTCAAAAGGAAGAAAAAAGAAATTTAGATTTTTCAGAAATTTCTCTAGACTTCTTTTATCTTTTTAATGCAGTGACAAGGTTTGTAAAAATATTTTTGTCCCCGTTTCTTTAAACAATTTTAAAACTCAAGCGAATGTGTCGTCGTGCTTTTGTGCTTACTTCAGAAAACATTTTTTCTGCAAAAAATAAAGAAGTTGCATTTTATTTAAAAAAAAATAATAATAAAAAGGCAAGCTTTTTATATTACGCAGTGAACAAGTTTTTTTTCCATTCAATTTTAGTGATTGCTGAATAAATATTTTCAGAAGTCTCTGACAAACAGAGGCAGTTTTAATCAAAATTTTTAAACTCACAGTAAACAAATGGATTACCAGTGGATATAATCTTTAATTTTGGGAATTATTTGTCAGCTATATTCCAACTACATGCTACCACAGTTTTGTTTCGACATCTTAAAAAAAAAAAAAACATTGCTGTCGACGTCATTCTTTTATTTTTCTGTAGTCCCAAGTTGAAATGACGTGCGAACAAGGGAATAAAGTGGGCTAAAGTCCCAGGTATTCAGCCACAGGAGGCATCTGGCAACTAAGTAAACTTAACCTGTGGCTAGATTACTTATAAGGAAATATAACTTTTTATTTAGCAAATACGTACTTGGAATAAACAAATTTATTTTATGAAGAATAAAATATGAATTTCAAATAAATTTAATTATGAAGTCATTAATACTAAAACATTTTCTCTAATAATATAATATGGAAATTAATAAATTTTTAGAGCATGCATTTTCACTAAAATGAATTTAGAATATAGATTTAAATTTTGACGAACATAAACTGTTCCAATTTTCCCCCTTTTATCTAAAAATGGTTTTTGGCTCTACACAAATATTAGATTATTATACCCCACTTTTTTAAGGCATCTAATGTAAGAATTTGAGAAATCTCTTTAGTATCAACACTTTCCTTTCAGCGAAACGCACTTGAAGCTGTTATTTAAAAACAATATAGAATTTTAAAGTATTAGCTGTGACTCGGCCGAATTTCCAATCATAGATTGAGATCAAACTTACCTGTTTTGATCGTCATAGTGGCCTTTCTGGGGGACGAATGCCGTTGAAACTTGTTATGTATGGTATAGCATGAGAAAAAGAATTTTAAAATAAGAAGGCTCATATTCAAGATGGCTATCTTCTTGTATGAGAAGAAGGTGTCTCTGCTTGGCGCAATAAAAATATGATTTGTGTCATTGGCGTAAAATCACTTTGCACCATGGCATAAGAGAAGAAAGAGGAAGAAAAGTGAGTTCTCAATTCGAAGAGACTGGGAAACTAGTGCAAGGAAGAGGGTGGATGAGGCTCTTAAATTAAACGGAATTAAAAAGTATCATGATTGCCTTCATGCATGTAAGTGTTATGTTATTATGCTGGCCTTTATGTTTGCCTTCAGCAACATGACATGCTATGCCATGTTGCTCAAGAAACCATAATACGTATGCAGGCTACACTCTCCATATCGCGTTTTTAATTTGCGTTTGGTAAAAAGGGAATGGACATTTAATGTACGCATGATAAAGTAAAGGCTTACGTTTCTAATTTGTGTTTTTTATACGAATTTAAAATTTCTATTATTGCAAATTAAATTTTCCTATTGTCCATATGCCATAGATACCAAGTTTCATCGACGCCTGCTTATCAGTTCGTACTCAATGTAGATTGAGAACTAAGTTTATAATTACCACGCATGTCAAAATATCTTTATTTGGTCCCTTTTGCTGCTTGAAGATCCCATATTTATTTCCTAAAAACTGATATTTTGGATCCAGTCTTCTCCCGCTTTTCCTGAATTGCGGCTTTTACTGCAATCGATTTAGAACGCATTCCTGCAAACTCACATTTATCATTTAATTCTGCAAGATGGTGAGGGCGTGAAAGATGGAATACACAGATTTCCCCCCTTATGCGAAGAAGCACTCAAAATTTGGGAAGCAGTTCATTTATACCTTCATTATAACAAAGAAAACATTTAAACTGTTTTGATTAGATAACTTATGAACATGAAGGAAAAACAGTTGCGAATTATTAAAAATTACGCGCTAAAATTTTTAGAGCTTTTATAACACCCCGAGAAAGTGGGCACCCTTTTTGTCACATCAGTTGTGTTTCTCCAGTTAGTGTTTTAGCAGTGATAATTTACGTGAACAAGTAGTCTAAATACCAACTATATAGTAATTGATAATTCAATTATATTAAATTAATTTTTTTCTTTATATAACACTATTCCAAAAGTGGCCTTTTTAGTGAATCTATTTTATTCTATTTTTACTTGCGGAATGAAGTAGCCTAAGTATTCGAAGTTAAGAATGAATTCTCTCTTTCATCAAATTCCTTCTATCTAATGTTATTCCCTTAATGCACTTCTTTTATTTTTGAATAAAATACAAAAATAACATACCTGTAGGCCTCACTGGCGGGAATCTACCTCCATATAACAATGATCTATTAAATCTCCCTATGGGACCAATCGAAGGAGGGCTTGACAAATACGTCATAGCCGTGGTGCTTTCGTTGAAACCGATTGGAGAATAAGTCATCCTCTAAGAAATGACGTAGCTATTACGTCAAGGTCCTTTTCTCTTTTGCTTTTTTATATGTTCGAAACATCGTTTCTTTGTTCCGTGTTGCTTCACTTTATTGGGATTTGCTTTTGTGTTCTTGTAGACACAATCAGAAATCAATATCACTTTTGTTTATTAAGATTGCCGTATGGAGCTTCTTAAACTTTAAAATAGGAAGAAAAAAAAACCTTTCTTCAATTGAATTCCAAGATTTTATTGTGACTAAAAAAATCTTCCTAATGTAATATTATTTTTAGTGGCATCTTATCTGATTATATTTGGTCAAGTTGTAGTTCCAGAAAATAATCTTCAATCACAGAAAAAAAACTTTTCTTCTGGTTTTTTCTAAGGAAATTATTACATTCACTGATAATAGAGTTTTCGTTTACGTTCGTTTTCTTTTGTAAGCGGAAAAAATTAAATTGATTTCTTTCAATATTATAATGTACAGAACTTGGATTGGTTCATTAGATTTAATTAAATTTTGCAGCTCTTTAAACACAATTCGTTCAATTATCTTCTCAGTTCAGTTTTATGGTTTCATTCCAATAAGAAAAATAATAAGACGTATTCCCTACTTGGATTTTTTCAAATTAGTTGTGTTGCATTCAGAATGTTTTCTTGAAACCACCATTTTTGTTCACAGAAATATTCAGAACAGCATAGCATTCTCGAACCAAATTTATTTTTGATAAAGGTTTTTTTTATTACTTTAAAAAAGACACTTTTTCATAGGAAATGCTATTATTTCACTTCACAATAATTCGAAATCAAATTATAAATTACCAAATTGAGATGTCAGGATTAAGTAAAGTTTCGATTTGATGTGAATAAAATAAAAATGATTGTTGGCTTCGGTTCAAGCTTAAGATAAAAAGTACATGATTAGTTCCTTTGAAAATATTGTATAACTTACGAAAATTAAAGTCTTGGCAAATCAATTTAACCTCAAACAAAAAGTTCCACCCAAAAAGATTTGTTGTTCTTTATTGATACGGATAAAGAATTCGATCCCCGCACAAAATCCCTTGCCGTAAAGTGTTCTTTTTATGAAGTTATTGCCCTTGCGACAGAGGCTCTTATTCTGTATGGATAAAATCCATCATTTTAAGAGTGACATTTCAGGAGAAAGTGTTTTTTTTCTTCGAGTTCCTGAGTGACAGTTTTTTTCCTAAAAATAGCTTTTCTCATTCCTGAAAGTGCCCTCGGAACCAAGAACTCATTCCTCCAGGAAATGTGAGACCAGGATTGAGTGTTGACATTTTTCTGTGAACGGAATCCCTAAAAATCGTCCTGTGATCTCCTCCTGTGAAAAATATTTGCTGTCACTTTCTATGATCACTTTTCTCACACAAAAGATACCTCTCCAAGTCTATTTTTGGAATTTGGAAAAAAGAAACCTGAAATAGATTGAGAAAGATTGTATAAAAAAATATTTTTCGAATACAAAATAAAAATAGGCTATAAATATTGAATTATTTTAAATGATATTATTTTGACGCTAATTTAAGCATTCACTTTCGTAAAATAATTATGATTATTTATTTTTTTCAATTGAGAAAGACACTTTCACACTTTTAGAAAATTTAATTTAATGCTGAACCACGATGTCGGTACCTTTAACTACAATAGCGTGTATATTTTCTTTAAAACTAATAAAGTGTTGAATTGAACCGTGTTTTCGTGTATTGGAATTGAATCATTGTGCGGTGTTATCAAGTTCGAAAATTACGCTAAAATGGCTCAAAAAAGCTCCATACTATGGTTGCAGCAAGTTTGGACGATATTAGGGTTTAATAAGTTTCAGCTACAAAGCAAAAAGCTTCCTATTTTTGTATCAAGAACCATTTAAATCTTACCAAAGCACACATTTACTATATCGCTCATTTGGTAAAGCAATGACATAACTGATAGAGAAACTATCAGTTACGTCATTGTTTCACCAAATGAGCGAAATGTTCTTTTGATGTTTTCATGCCAATACAGATCTGACATATTTCCTATAATTCGAAAAATAATTTAATATTTCATTTATATTAATTCTTATTTCAATTTATATAATTTTCTAAATATTTTTCTCGGTGACAATGTGTTCGAGATTAAGCTAATTCTATCATTAGATTGTCTTTATACAACTGCTTAAGAATCTGCATAAAATTCATGAACTCATGGTCGCTGTAATGTTTTGAGTTCATAAAGTAATCGTTATTAACTTCCCACAACTAACGTGTTCTTAGCTAAGAAAATAATTATGACAATACTCAATGGCTATCACTTACCACATTAAAACTTTTTTACTCATGTTTGGTGATATATTTTCTTACTTCTAATTACCACTATACTTCTTGATTTCGAACTATAAGGACGTGCGCTAGCGGGGGTCTCTCCCCTTTCGATTCCACAGTTTTCGCATTATAAGGTTTTACATTGATTAGAATTGGAAATATTTCGTAATTTTTTTTTTAAAAAACAACTATCGTTTGAGTTGAAAAATGTTATTTTCAAAAACAAAAATGTGATTTCTGATTAACCAATCCCTATATCTAATATCAAATTTCAAACTTATGTATTGTCATGATGCCTCTTCTGGAGTACTGCTCTCTGGAGTTGAAAACTATATTATTCCTATTCTGCAAAAACCTGAATTTCCATAGTTTTTAACAAAATCTAACTGACTTAAACACAAAATTTCCTCAATAATTGCTGTGTTGGAAAAATAATAATTAGGCATAGAATATGAAATATTTTGGAAATTTTATTTTAAAATACTTAGATTTCTTAAAACCATGTTATGTTTTTATGATTTAATAAGATATAGTACAAAATAATTGGAAACGAAACATAAACTATAAAACTTAAACATTCGTACAATGTGTTTCAGGTAACATACTATACGAACGAGTTCCAAATTAAACGGGGCACCCGGTTTGGTAGATCAGTGTAATCTTTTCTAAAGCGAAATCTTTATATTAAAAATCTTGTTTCTGTGTCTCGTGTATTGTACGAGTTAGAGCAAATGGTTGAGCTCCGTAGACTGGTGAATAGTTCTGGGGGAAATATGCATGGAGTAGTATAAATTGAGATAATTTAATCAAAGGTTCAGTTTCCCAACACGGATCTTTTGGAGACTGTTCCAAATTGTTCTGGCGATGCCGTTCGAAAATAAATTTAAAGGTTTAATCGGTTTTCACCTAAGCAGAAAAGTGAAGCTATTCATTTCTTCCATTTTTGTTATATATAAACTATTTTGTGGATATTTCAAATGTTTTGAAAACAAACTTTTAATTTATTACAAAATATTTTCCAGCATTACACCGACAGTACTTTTCCTCAAAATAAAAATTTATATAAAATATGCATTTAGACATTGTTATTGTTGTTGTAGTTCATTAACGTCGCACTAGAGCTACATAATGGGCTATTGGCGACGGTCTAGGAAACATCTCTGAGGATGATCCGAAGACATACCATCGCAATTTTGATCCTCTGCAGAAGGGATGGCACCCCCGCTTTGGTAGCCCGACAACCTGCAAGTGAAGTCGAGCACTTTACGATAGAACAGTTTAACGAGGACCAATACCGCAGACCCTCGGTTCCTACGAAGATTGATCCAAGTAGTCACCCACCCGCACACTAACAGCAGCCAGTGATGCTTGACTTTGGGGAACCGTGTCTTAACGATCAGTCCACTGCGGGACACATTTAGACATTGAAAATTGGAATGGTGCATTTTAAGTAGAACGATCAAGATCAAACCACATTCCGTAGGAATATTCCCCAAGTTTGTTAAAATCGTTGAATTGGGTACTTGCAATTCGAGAAGAAGAGAAGTACCTAATCATGTGTTTTAAATCAGATTTAATTCTATACCTGTAAGCGACGTTACGCGAGTAAGTCAAACAAGATTGGCTTCTGAATCGACAAATGCCATAATTTAGCTACGGTGAATTCACTTGTATTGTATCACTTGTATTGTATTCAATTGTATTGTATTATTCTTTAAGAATTTTTACTTTTGTATTGTAGTTTAATTTTATGAAATAAATATTTAAAATATCGAATCACGCGTAAATTATGACTTGATTAAATTGAAAGATCAATCATTAAACTATTAACACCCGTAAACCGTGAAAAGATAAACTCTCAAAGGTGGAAGATATTTGAAGCGGGTTTGCAGTTAAACAGATCCAATGTGTCACATGACTTGCTAGAACAATGCGGCCAATCTTTGGAAACAAGAATTCAGTTATAGTGGAATTGTAAAGAGGATGGCGCATCTAAGTATCATCTAATTAATGTCACATCTGAGTTTGAATTTAAGTTGGAAGTGTGAAATAGCATAAACCATATAATATTAAAATAACCATTTAAGAATAAATTACGATTTGAAATCTAAGTTAAGCAAATTAAATATGATACTGATTCTTTCTTGTAATTTAGTTTAGTGTTTGCTTTTTGACATCTGAAGAATCAGTGGCATATTTTCACATCTTCATTATTCGCGTTTAATATTATTTGAAACATTTTCGCGTTCCTTAACGACGTTTCAGTGATGCTAATTATAGCTACAAAAAGAAGAAAAAAAAACGGTAAATAATTTTAATAAATAATTTAAATATGTAACGTAAATAATTTATAAATAATATAAATAATAATTATAAATAATTTTTTTAACCGTTTGAGACATATTTTCTTAATTTAATTTAAATGTGTGTTGAATCAACACCTCCTAGAAAGGAGTAGGCCTCTGCACGGGTTACCATAAATATCCTTTAGTAGTCCAAACGTAATGACATATTTTGTATTTTCAGCCACTGCGCAGCTTAGTACCCCTAACGAAATGACATCTTTCTTATTTTTCATCTACTGCGCAGTTAACTTCGTCACATCGGACTACTAAATTGATCCGTGCTGAGGCCTTCCTACTACTAGGAGGTGTTGGTTGAATGAGGATGTTGACAATGTATTGTATCTTTTGAATAATCATACAAAAAATCAAAGCAATTGTAACTCTACTTTAAATTTCCTTACGCAGGGATTTAAAAAAGTGGAAAAGAAACTAAACAAGAAAAATTGTTACAGATGATTACATCCACGTGTTCAATTCAATCTACGCACAGCAGGTAATAAATATGCTAAGATATAAAGCGCACTTGAAAATACAAAATAATTTAAATCAATATAAACGACATATACAAGCATCAATATAGTATTTTATTTTATAACCTTCGTTAAACTGCCGACCCAATTTTGTGTTTACGACCGCCAATTTTCCACTCCGCGGCCTTACAATTTTGAACCCAATTCAAAAGACAAGGGAACTCCTGCATCAAGTATTAGGAGAAAATTTTGCCTTAGTTGAGTACTTTTTCATGGAACTAACTCAAATTGCGTTACATGCCAAGGAAAACCACGAAAAGTTGCCACGGCTAGTCTGACGGCAAGGGAACTCTAAACAATGATTCGTCTACTACTGAGGATATATTTTACGTCAGCATTGTGGTCGGTGCGAGTCGGAGGCGGAATTCGTTTCACCTCATTGGGAGGAGAATGTTTTACACCTCAGCTATTTTAATACTAATTAAGTTTAATGAGATTTCTCAATAACACAATAAAAATTTTTGTTTTATTTTTTTTAAGAGTTCGTGAAAGAATGAACTTAAACTGTTTAGTCTTCAAACGCTGAAAATTTATGTATATTTCTTTACTTAGGGAAATTTTATGAATTGTTTCAAATGTTATTTTCAAATAGTATGGAAATGTATAAAACTCAAATAATGATGTATATGAAATGTATATAAATAAAGGAATAAGGAATGAAATGTGCATAAATTAGGTAAAAAATGATGAAATGAACAAAAAGTAAAAGTCCCAATAAATGTTAATGTTGCATATTTTTTAAACATTACTGCGCCTCTTAAATAACCCATATCAATTTACGATAAAAAGTACTAGGACCTTAGATGCATCATGTGTAATATCCATTTTATTGTAAAATCCATTTTTGCTGTAAAATTTTATACCGTAATATCTAATATCAGTGTTTCACTGACTTTATAGTTGATAATACTGTAACAATTACGGTATATCAAATCCTTTGCTAAGTAAAATGTTACAGTAAAAATGGATTTCACGGTATACAGGGTGGTCCTAAAATACATGTCAAAAATGTAAACGTAGGTAGAGGGGACATAAATAAGCATATTTCGGATAGGAATGTGTGTGGGGTAATGGCACATTAAAGCACTAGCTTGTAACGCAGTATGAATCAAAGGAAACTGAAAAGACAAGTAAAGACAAAAGAAAATTTGATTCCCTACCGGCTCAAGGCGGCATTACCGCACACACAATCCTATAAGAAATATGCTTATTTAGGTCCCCTCTACCTACCTTAGCATTT